AAAAGTCTGTTTTTTTTTTTCTGTCATTTAGTTTTCTAGTTTGTTGATAGTTATTAAAGCAAGCCTTTCTGTTATTCATCAACTGAGTGTTGGGTCAATTCTTAAAGCACTAGGTTTAAAAAATTGGTTTCTAAGTGCAATATGACCCACAAGCATGTGTATAGGTACCCAAGTAAAACCAGGATTTTGACCACACACTTTAAGAGTGACAGACAAACTTAGATTGCCACACAAATAAAGGGAAATTTCACCTGAACATAAGCAAATTGGTTCTGAATAAAAAAAAACCTCTTTCATCAAAACAATCAAATAATTTGACAGTCATAACTCTACAATATCCCAGTACATACTTGGTGGGAGGGGGCTGAACTCTCTATTAGGCCATTGGTAGTTGCCAAGACATATTTCAAGTGATGCCACTACACCAAAGACACATGATGCTTCAGTATGTGAACAGTGACAATTTGTTACTTTCATCAACTCTTCTGAGCTAATTAAACACTGGAGTGATGGCAGTCTTTGACTCTTGCAAACTTTTAAAAAGCTGACTTAGAGTGAACATCTACTATGAGGAAAGCAGGAATAATTGTATCTCAGTTCTGGTGTTTATGGCATTGATTTGTCTAGCACCTTTTTCAAAACCTGGAGAAACAGTAGTCCTGAATCCAACTGAAGCTACCACTGGCTTGCATAATTTACCATCTGCTCCAAACAGCAAGAGCAATTTCCAACAGTACTCACCAGAAAGATTAACCTTACTTCAGTTCCAAGCAGGGCGGCCTCTCCATTTTGGGCTAGCAATTTCACTCTTATACTTAGAGATGTAAGGGGTTGTTTCAACGGGGACTTAAACTTGAAACCTGGGTTACTGCTAATAGAAGCTGCATGTCAAATTCCCGTACTAGACTGTGGAGAGCTGACTTTAAGCTACGTGTAGACATTGCCAAATGAAATGGGTCAGCTATGCTGAGATGTCTCCTGGTACAGCTTAACTGGGTGAACATGTCACCTGTTGTTTGGCCCATTGATCTTGCAGGACAACAAGCAATGTGATCAATCCCCACTTAACAGGGACTAACCCCAGAAAACTCTAGACCGCATCTCTGCGAGCAGGGAAACCCCTTTCCCACTTAAAAAGATGTGCTTCAGAGACTCCCAGAGTCTGAGTCTGTAAGAAGTGAAATCTAGGCAGGTGCTTCCAGGGCTCGAGGGGTCCAATCTTGTGAAGGAATTGAGAGGTACATGGGATTGAGCCCCTCAAATGCCGGCAGTGATTCATTACTCCAGGGTTACTGGACAGCATGAGCAGCTCTGGGTTGCCCATGCTCTCATGCCATAAACCCAACAGACATCTGCCATAATAAAGCATTAGAAACTATTTTTTTTTCATAGATTCATAGATGTATTTCTACCTTTTGTGATTGCCAAAAAATGTTGGTGCAACAATGGTGACAAACATCTTTTTGCCTACCTTTTGTGCTGCCATAAAAACTGTTAGAGTGGCACAAAGGTGATATCTATTTGTTACAGCCAAATTAGTTCTCTTATCTGCTCCTGGGATGGTGTAATAATGCACTACCCCTTATTCACAGCTGACTGTAACATTGTAATCCAGCTCTCCGCAATACACTGAAGATCAGATCCTATTCTACTTACTGGGGTCTCCTAAGTGGGGGTGGGAACCTAAGTGACATCTTATTCCACTGAAATTCCTGAAAAAACAACTATGCCTAGGTTTGTAACGTGCCATCTTCTTAAATGACATCTGCGCATGCAAATCTCAAATGAGAATAGGGCATTCAAAAGAATTATCCCAAATCTCATTCTATATCTAAGCATCTGCTTCTATAACCTTTTTTCTTGCCAACCCCATAATATGTTTGATAAGGCAAAACGTCTTCCCCAAACCTGCTTATCTTTGTTCAAGATAAGTCAGTCAAGGAATACAATTCAACCCTGACCCTAAATGTGTTTCTCAGAGATACTTCCTGGTATACCCAGTTATCGTCTGTGTGTAGCTAAGGAACTGAAAAGTCAACGGTTCTCAGACCATATAACTGTTCGTTAGTAAGGCAGGCACCTAAAATTCTGTCACAAAGAAGGAAGGAGTGAAGTGCTAGCAGTATAAAGAAATGCAGGCAATTTTGGACAAAAAAAAAGAAAAAGGAAAATTCAGTTAAAGAAATTTGGTTTTGAAAAAAGTATGTCCTAATGTTGAGAATCCTACTTATTGCTAGATTACCTTGCCTAAACTAGTGCAGCATTATATGCTAAATGTTATAGTGCTTTGCACCAAATAAATACAATCTGGAACCCCCTTGCACGTTATGAAACCTGTAACTTGAAAGTGTTTATAATCTTACGTAACCCTGGTAATGTATTTGTGTTGTGTGTGACAGTCTGCCAGTGACACTTATTTACATACCCCTATTAGATTACAGGAAATGATGGCCCTTATCTACATATTGCAGTTGGTATGCATGCTTTACAGCAAGGGAAACTCTTGTGTTTGTTCTGACTGCCATAGCAAGTGACTCAGTTTAGCAGAGCAACACCCTGACCCCCTGCAGCAAGCATTGGTGAGACAGGTGAAAGCTTGGGCTAGCAGCTACACGGGCTCTACAAGATCCCATGTCCATCCTGTTTGGGACGAAGAGAGAACTCTGAAACATACTGACTGAATAAAATGTTAATAGCTGGCTGAAGTGGGCTACTGATTATTAAGGGTTTCCCAACTTCGTTTCATGTCCCACTTTCCTTCCCCCTTCAAATAACCCTGTTATAGTGTCATAATTGCTTACAAGCGGGAAGTTTGTTCATATTGGAACACCCAAACAGAATTAATTTTTCCAGTTTTCTGGGTAGGGCCTTGAGCCAAGATAATAAAATTTGTGTAAAACTCCTACAATGAACTTGACCATTATTACTCCTGTCCCATGCCTGACAGAAGGGTTACAATTAAGCTGTCACCAAAAAAAAATCATTTATAACTATGTAAATAAAAGTTGCACATATAGGGATCTTATATTAAAATTAGACAGATTTCAGGACTTTTTCTTCTTTGAATCTAAATCATATCTTAGTCAGTTCACTCCTCTGGCACTTAATGTGATAGATAGCCTCAAAGAATCATGAATTTCTCATGAACCACATCTTCCTCAAATCAGGAAACTCAATCATTCCCCTCCCGCCTAAGAAGTTACACGTTAACCGTTTTAGATCCATCTCACTAAATACTAAAGTTGTACTTCCCTATGTAGATTTTTCACCATTTAGGTTTACAGACTCTTGATAGTAAAATTATATCAGAACATATTCCTATGATATATATGCAGCCTTATGAATACTGCCTAGATTTCTAAATCCAAAAAGCCGCAACACTTCACATTGCCATAGCCAAAAACCACATCAGAATTCACAAGGCAATTCAAAGGAAAAATAGCTTTCCAGCAATAGGAACCATGCAATTTCTCCTATGAGTTTAGCAGCTAAGTGAAGAGGCTCTTAAAGATAAGGAAAGGAAACTGTCATTGTCTTCACTTTAATAAATGCTAAAGTGCACTTTAATTGAAGGATTAAAGTTAGAATCTTAGAATAATCCTGTAAATCTGTGCCATTCAGATACACCATCTGAGAAATATCACTAACTATGATTTCCCTTCTCAATCCTGTTGACATTTCTGTTTTCACTCCTATGTCATTTATAAATGCAGACACATGATGATGGCTATGAATTTTAAAGAAATGCAGGTCAGGTTAGGGTCTCCTTCCTGTTGATGAGATTTTGGCAGAGAAGGCAGGCCGCAGAATTAAAATGAATAGCACTAAATAAAAAGAATCTTGTTTTCAGGTCCTTCTGTTTGCTGGGTTTTTAAATTCTGCAGGCATTGTCTGTGCAAATAGCATCTACCATATATCTTCTTACTACACTACATACCTGGATTTTAAACACTTTCTAAAAGTGGCACTAAAAATTTCTCTATCTTGAAAAACAATGTAACACTTTTTGGATGTTTTTTAAAAACTTAAATTCCTACTGGAGGTTGGACTAGATGACCTCCTGAGGTCCCTTCCAACTCTAATTTTCTATGATCCTATGATTGTTTCCTGTACATGCATAATATGAGAAAACTCATTCAAATACTCTTAAAATCCTGCACTATCAAAAATGCTTCATACATGCTACATGTAGCAGAAGTACTATTATTCTGAACAGCAAGCCAGTCCCTTGAACAATTTATGCTTTGGGGATATGTCAAGTGCTTCTAGTATTCATCTCTGCCCCAGGCTGAATTCTTCTAAAGAAAAGCTATCAAGAATACTTTACCCTAGATGAAAAAACAGCACAAAGAGAGAATGAATGAGAAAAATTAGGCTACTCATAAAGACTTTGTTTGCCTTAAGTTCCTGCTCCTAACTCCACTTTCCAAATTCAGACCATTCTCCAGCAGATCTTCATCTTTCAAACAGTTGGTGGTCTAATCCGGAGATTCTCACCAGTGTGCCACAGCACCTTGGGCCACCCTGAGATCTTTCAAAGGTGCTACAGGGTGCCACACAAGTTTAGCTCTGTTAGGTATGCAAACATGATTCACAATGTAAAGCCGGACGTCAAATAGAAATTCACAGTGTTAAAAACATTCTGACCGGTTGTGGTTTTTCTGAGTTCTTTGCAACAGAATAAACGGCTTTATTGGGGGTTTTCTGTAGTCAAAAATGTGAAAACTAAGAACTGGGAACTGGAATTTTCCAAGCGGGGGGCCAGGGGACGGTCGGACTTGAGTCCAAAAATGGTTGCGAACTATGGAGTCTAGTCAAATAAGGATATTTCTATTGTACAGATCATGTGATTAAAGATTCTTAAAAGAAAAGTACTTACAGATATTCATACTCAGAACAAAATAATTTAAAAAGGCATGGTTAATCTGTTTGTTTTTATGAATGTCATACGTAAAGAAGTTTACTATAAATATAAAGCCATATGTTCACATGGTACTTACAGCCCTCATAAATATCAGTTGGTATGTGAACTGCTGCATGCTGGTAAGATGTTTGTCGTCGAAAAACAGGATCTTCTTCAAATACTGGTCTGATTCTCTGGCTGCTAGTCTCCGATTCATTCTTCTTAGACTTTGTAAAGAAAAGACAAGGGAAATATTACAATCAGTGCTAAAATTTTACATCCATCCATCTATCTAGCTATAGATATAGATATAACTAGATAGATATATCGATATCTTGATAGATAAATATAGATATATCTATCTATATTCATTTTTGCCTCTTGGATCAGAACTGACCCCAAACCTGTCATTAATAGCTAAGGGTTTATGTGTATGAAAATACAGACACACACACACTCCAATAGCCAGATTATCCTGTCATTTATGCTGGTGTAAATCTTCATTACTCCAGTATGCAGAACATAATGCAAGAGCACTTAAATTTATTGCATTGCACTGATTCATATTCATTTTAAATCTGTGAAGGAAAAGTGTAAATATAATTTATTCCTATAATCTTTCAAGAAATTATCACACAGACAACAAACCTTATATGGGTACAAAACTGCACAAATTTACAAGAGGATGTTTAATAAATGATATACGTCATTTATAATGAGACTGACAAATAAAAAAAAAAAAACAACTCCCATGATATCATTTAAAAAAAATCTGTTTCAGGATGCTTTTTTAAACTGATTTAACTCTTATTAGATCAACTAAATAAATACTCCTAGCAATCTTGTTTCACAGGGGCCACCACATAAATTCCAGGCAAAATATGGCACTAATCAACTAACTGAACTAGTAAAATGTGTGGCTGCCTTGCAATCATTATTCGTTATTCAGAGCAAGATAAGGAACCTCATGCTCATTTTGCTGAGCAGTTACATTTGTAGGTATTGTAGGTATTACAACAGACTTCCAGTCAGTGGAATGTCTTTGGAGTATAAGTATAACTGTTTACTCGAACATATATTTGAAAATCAGGAATCATCTACTCAATGTTGCATGAGATGTCATTTAGTATGTCCAACTCTCTCCTTTATTTTCATAAGCAGCTCTAAAGCTGGGTACAGACATTCAAGGAGGATAGGGGGAGTTTGGAGTTAAAAATAGCCACCCAATCTAAGGGAAGGCGGGGGGGGGGGTTGTTGTGGGGCAATTGAGGAGTTAAACAGGTATGGAGGGGATTGGAGGTCCACAGAGGGATTGGGGGGCAGGCGGATCCACAGGACTGTTCAGGGGGAACAGCGGGGAATCAGGGGAGCTAGTGAGGTCTGCCAGGGGTGGGGGGGAGGAGGGGGATTTGAGCACCTGTGCAGGATCAAGGGACAAGCTGGATCCATGGAGGGACTGGGTGGAGCATGCAGGGTCTGCAGCATGCATGCAGGGTCCTCCCCACAGCAAATCATCCCTTCCACCCCTCTCCCCACTGGGACTTAACTCCTTAGGCTCCTTACTCCTTAGGCTCCCAGCATTGGCCAATACTGATAAAACTGGAACATGGAGCAGCTTGTGAGATGGGGGTTTGGTGGGAGGTGGAGGCAGGAGGCCAAGGGGCTAAAAACAGACGGGTGCCATAAGGGCAGGGAGCAAAAGCTCAGCCCTGGGGCCAGCAGCTGGGCTTTCCAAGCCCTACGGCTGTGTTGGAAACTGTACAGAAGCTTGGGAAAGTTAGATCAATTTGAAAAATGCAGCTAATACCATCTAAACTAGACTGCCTTGGAGGTAGGGTTAACTTAGATCAGGGCAGCCACTTTTAGACCAATCTAGCTTTCCTGGAACTTCTGTACAGTTTGCATTTAGCTGGACCTAACGAGGGATCCAAGTATAAGGTCCACACCTGGTGAATTAAGTTAGATTGCATAGCTATTTTTAACACGATCTAACCTCCTTCTAGCCCCCTGAAGGTCTGTACACACCCTAACACACCCTAAGTGTTGTACCTTGCTTTTATGCATACTACCTATAGCCAGTATCAGCAACAGTTTAAATATATTGTTTTCTGTTATGATTTAAATAAAGCATTAAGTTGGCCCGACTACTGCTATAATGAATGACTGAGCACGGTAGTTTTTTTCCACGTCTGAAAGACCACCTAAATAGTTAGCAAATTTTGGAGCGTTACTTATGATTTATTTTCTTGTATCATGCTGTCATAATTAATGAAGTAGTGCAGTTTTGTAAATGAGATTCTAACAATTCATTGTTGATCTGAGAAAGTTTCTCTTGTGCCTGCAAGTCATTGTGTTAAAAAAAATCCAAAACTTTACACTCTAATATCTAATTAACTCCAGCAATTGCAATCTCTATTTTTTCCATAAACCTGTTAAAAAAAGAATACTACAGACTATCAAGTCACATTACAACTATAAAACAGCAAAAGGGTAAGATCTTCATGAATGTTCTCCTCTATTTTCTTCAAAGATAACCTGGTTTGAGCTGCTTCGTTTTGCTTTGTTGCGGGGGGAAGGTGGGGGACAGGAGAGAGGGCAAGGGCTTCCCATCCAATTATTTTTCACAAAAGTATTACTCCAAAGGGTATGTTTACATATTTAGCTGGAAGGATGCTGGAAACTAATCACTTATATGAACGTGAAACTCTACCATCTTTTGTCATCTCACTGTTTCATCAAATCCTGAGCAACAGATATCTGGATTTTGGCTAGAGGGCCCAGAGTCCTCCCTCCTAGCTATATTCTTTCCCTTCATCCTTCCCCCCTCCTCCACCCCCCCCCAGTGAAAAAACTGTAAATCCACCCCCAAATTTTGTGAACTCTTCATTATCCATAAGCATGTAGCATTATGTTTTTGTACAACCTCCAGCAAACGCAAACTGCCTAACAGCACAGTTACCACCCACCAAAATCATTAAGTATGGGGGCACTTCCCACTGGTTGAAATTCACTCCTACACAGGAAGTGCCAGACCAGAACCATTTGTCTGGGTGTCTAAACAGGATTCACGCAGACTTTAGACACCTTAATCCACAAATATAGCACTGCTGCCTGGCAAGTTGTCACACATGCCATGCTGCTGTCTTAACTGGAAATTGCATAGCTGTATTTGCACAGTGCTTGGGATTGGATAATTAGCCCTGTCACTCATTGGGACAATGAACACCATATAACATGACTACAGCACACCTAGTTCAGAAGGTTACCTGCACAGAGCAGCACACTGCATTTCAGAGTCTGTTGCCTTACATGGAAAATTTTAAATAAATGCATGGTAAATTTGTGATAAAATCATACTGAACTCACAAGAAACAATTCAGATTCACTCTTCTTCAGCCCAAATTATTAGACATCTTTACGCAGATCTCTAAGGTTCCCTGACTTTAGGCTTCTGTACATGTTCAGAAGCAATCCAAAAATCAAGCAACTAGGCATCTATCTTCAACCCTAAATCTGTTGTGATCCAGATTAGTACTGGACTCTCAAAACTCTCATTAAATTTCCAATCTGCTGGGCAGGAGTTTATCACAGAATTAATTTAAAAGCCTAGCTGACACCAAAGGAAGAAAATCATAATAAAGGGATCATGGTTCAATAGCCCAAAAAGGAAGACCCCTGGAAGAAAGAGTCCCCAGGTTTGATCCCTGCCACCTGAGTTATTTGTTTATTTAATCAATGACTAATTTGAAATGGAAATAGCCCTGGCAACAGGGACCCAAAGCTGGGACTCATCCTGACCAGAGGTGTATCATCTTTACTAGATACACATTCCCTCTTGTGTTCTTCTGGTCCCATGCCTCTAGCTCTCTTTGCTGGCCAATGGGCCCAACTTCAACAGAAGGGGTGATGCCCACCCTGCCTAGAGTATATCCTGGTGCTTAGGATACTTTCCTGAAAATGAGATGTGTACTTGAGTGCCCTCAGACTAGAAAGAGCCTGGATTCCTGATCTCCCCCAGGCAGAAGATGGACAGCACCACTGCCATCATCAGCCATGTCTGAGCAAACAGAATACTGAAATTTGTGCTGAGCACAGTGCTGTTTTTCAGATCTCTTGGTTTAAACTGATTTGGATCAACTGCTTGGGTCAAGATGCCTAATGTTTAGGTGCTACAATGAAGAAGTAAAGGTACTTCTGAAAACAATGTGGATCCAGCCATTATCCACACCATAACGGAGTGTCAGTCATTATAATGGGATGTCTGTAACTGGTACCATATCTGAATTAGAGTAAAACAGATGCAAAATAATACTGTACAAAAGGGGAATCTAGTATATTTGTGCTGATATTAATTGCACAACAATGATAGCCCTAAGAATTATGTTACTAGCAATAGATTAAATACAATGGTTAGCTTTTAATATCCAGAGCAACTTTGTTTTCTGAATAGTACTGCCAGGCATATATATTGCAAAAGAAAGTCATCCAATCCAGCCTGTGAACACAATTAAAATCTAACTCCAGCCAATTTCACTCCTGAGGCAGGAGCTGAAATACAATCAGTAATGGCAGAGGAAAATCCCATAGGAGACAGAGGCTGAAGATTAATTTTCCATCTATTCAAACTCGGCCTTCACTTATTGAATTACATTGTTACCTACCACTGACAGTCAGCAAAATATCTCACTCATTTCTCTGAAATAAATCTTCAGACCAATTTCTCCCTCCCCTGTGTCAGAGTTACCATCAATTTCTCCTTTCAATTCACATTTGTACCATTTTAAAACATTGCTGTAAAGAAATATAGTTCGCCATTCTCTGTCAGAATAGAAGAAAGCTGATGTTGTGGCTAAGGACTCCACAGATGTAGATGTAGATTTCATTTACATTTTCCTGTAGATTTTCTGTGACCTCAGTCAAGTCACTTGAACTGATGTAAACTGGAAGCTTTAATTTTAATTTAAGCAGACCCTTCATCTCTAATTCAGTGGGTGAATCTAAATAGGTAATTAATATGGCAATAAAATCTGGCACAGTTTGAGCCAGAGTTTATTGCTCCCAAGTGAAGCGTTTACATGTGCACCCATGGCCACAGCATGTTGAGGTGAGGTGGAGCAGCCCTGCCTGAAAGGTCAGCCTGCCAACCCAGAGCTGCTCCGCCCCAGCTCAACTTGCTGCAGAAGGGAGGGCTGGGGCCTGAGGGTGGTCCAGTGCAGGGCAAGCCAGC